TGAAAATAATGAGGTAGACAATCTATGAACAGCTATAGTCTGTAGAAAGAAAATTGAATGTATTCAAGCCTTTCACTCGGACGCAAGCTTTTTATATTTCATGTTGGTTACACTGATATATGTTTAAACCCGTCAACATACGGAAAAGGAGCTGTAGACTGTATTGGAAATCAACCAGTTAACCACAGTGGAGTGTAAAAATCAATACTAAAACAGTTTTGGATGCCTGACACAGTCTTTGTTACTCTTTTTAGTGTGCCCAGCAGATATGATCCTCGATGAAACATCAGGTTCTTTCGCCTCTCCATTTAATCCAAGAAACTATCCATCCAACCAGACATGTAGCTGGAATATTACAGGGAAACAAGGATACCGTGTTGAGCTCACAATACCAGACTATAATCTTGAACGTTGTGGTGGCGCTGCTTGCTCGTGTGATTATATGGAAGTTCAGAATAGCTTCAGTGATCAAGTGCTGCCTGGAAAACTATGTGGTACACTTAGGTTTACTCCTGTAAAGTTTTATTCACTGCACGAAAGCTTGAGGGTGGTTTTTGTGTCCGATGATGCAAACATGGATTATGACGGATTTGGGGCAACTTACAAGCTGTTGAACTACAGTCCTCCAAGTAAGTAAAGAAAACAACTTTGGTACATCTAAGAGATCGTATCAAGTGACACCGCTTGTTTGCTGCTTAACTGCCACAAAAATTAATAAAAGACATATACTCTTCTCTTCTACTTATTAAGGAACAGTAATTAATCATCACCACGAAGGGGAGGGGGGATGGAGCATTTTGGTTGTTTACCAACAAAATTTACCCGATCTCTGATATTCTGTAATATTCTTATATTTCGCCCTTAGTGGCAGCTAATTGGCAGTCAACTTTGTAATTTTTCCCATTTAAACTCTGTTGGCGACGACTGACCCATCTACTCCACCTCAAAACCATGATAGTTTCCCCACAAAACTCCCTTCATCCCTTCCCCGGGCTATCAGATAGCAGGTTCCTTACTACATTGGTCTGAGATCACCATCTTCAATATATTTTTTTTTTTGCAATTGTGCACTGCCCAAAGTCAATCTCCTTTGTGAGTACCATATGCTTAGCTTCTCTTCCACATCAATCCATGATTAGTCTCCCACATTCACATAGACATTGTCTTTTTTACAGTTTGTCCAAGGGAAGCAATTCCTCTCTCAGGCAGCGGCAAAATAAGCAGCACCAACTACCCAAAGAGTAATTACACTGCTTCCAGAAACTGTACCTGGAAAATTACCGCACCAGTTGACAAAAAGATACAGTTTGAGTTTACTGACTTTGCCTTAAGTGAGTGTTCAGCCAGTCCTTGTTCGGACTCTTGTTCTTATGTGGAGCTTTATGATGGTGGGTCAACAGGTTCGCCCTTACTGGGGCGATTTTGTCAGGGGTCGCCACGGAATGAGCTTCAGTTCTCGACTGGAAACCAATTGTCTGTGATGTTTCATCCTGGACAAACAGTTGCTCGTGGATTTGAAGCAGAATTTTCGACAGAGACAAAAGCGACGAACGAAACAACAACAAGTACTGAATCAAAAATAAGAACTGATTCAAAAATGGCAACTACGACGAGTTGTAAGTACTCTGTAAACTTTCTTTGCACTGAATATTCCAGATTAATCAGACGTTTGTTTTAATTAGAACAATTAAACCGCAGCCACCAACCTCTTTCATCGTCTTAACCCTGAAATTATCTTGAAATGCTTTGCTCTTTCAGTGACTGGTTCCAAATAAGAGACAACATGTAAGCTCTGCCAAACATCCTTGATTACTTTTTTACAATTGCAATAGTGTGTTACGTTCAATGAACAATGGTGGCTGTGGGGTACTTAGCTTTCAAAGCAAATGTTTAATATACAAAGACGTTTTTATTTTAACTATCTTATTTCGAAGTAACAAATCTCGGTTTTCGCCAAAAGTACCTTAACCCTTAAAACGACCCTGTTCTTTGTGAGCCCATTACAGGATGACAATCAGTTCTTTGAAATGATTCATAATTGCGATAAATCCAAGGGGTGGGGTGAGGTTTGTTGACGACCTTCTATGGGGTTGACAGATTACATAAGTGACTGAAATTATTAGAGATCTTTAACCTACATATCTTTGACAATCAATAATCATCATATGCTATTACTAAAGTAAGCAGTTCTTAAAGACTTTCTAAACTTTTTCAATTAATTGTAGTGCCAAAGAAATCCTTATCGGCAGGTGCCTCCGTAGGAACAGCATTGGGTAGTGTGGCTTTTGTTCTACTCGTCTTTATAATGGTTTACTCTTGCCATCGTCACGGTGAGTCCGTTCGCTTCCTTTCCTTATGTGAGAAGGGTATGATGCAACAATCACCTCCCAGTTCGTCCTGTGCTGGGTAGGATACCTTACTTTTGAGATTTCTTATGACGAGGATAGATGATTAGGCCAGTCTACTCCTTGAAATTTCTTTGAGGGGTGCTAAAAGTTTTAGTGGAGAGAACTAGTGGGCTGCATTAGAGGGCTCTACGAAGTCTCGCATTTGCCGTTCCTCAGGGGATCGTATACACTTCCGGGAGTGTTAGAGGTCTTTATCTGGGCGGATTTTAAGAAATATTTTCCTAGGGCCAAACGTGGTACCCGCTATTATTTGGGAAGAAACTCTCTATGTCTTTAATCCTCGGGAGAGTTTTAATGGAGGCAATTGGCATGGGAAGTAAACCATTCATAGCGGTACCAAAATTCGAACCGTATTCCTCTCTTGGGATTCTGCCCTCAAACCTGCTCTCGACGTTAGAATAAATTGAAGAGTGCAACATCCCGTAATTTGAAACATTGCTTATCCAACAGTTAAAAAGAACAAGAGAATCATTTCTCCGAGTAACGAAGGCACTGAAATGGAAGAAAACCAGCAAAGAAATAAAAACGGATTTGCACCCGACACCTGAACATGAGTTACGACAACCCAGAAGGCGGTGGGTGTGGTCGAGTGGTTACACTGCTAGACTCGAAATGCTCGTTCAGGTCCAGGTCCTCCACGGTCTCCACCTTGCTACTCAACGATTTATTTTCTCCGTTGCTTCGAGTTCAACTCCTCAGATGCACTCTTACAATAACCAACTGATGTGCTTCCTGTCAGTTGGGATTCTAAACCAGTTTACAATTATTTGGATCAATTGTTTCATTCCATGTATATTTAGGCCCTAAAAAGCCTCATTGGGTAGTAGTCAATTGATTTTTTTTCCTCGATGACCGCCGAAAAACTCAAACGAGCTCACCTACCAGCCGCTTAACGGGATTGTGGGCTCACAATCTTTTCCATTTTGAGGGAGGAGTTTTCAGGGATAACAAAAGGGGATCACAACTCAAATCATCCCACCTTCTTTCTCCCTCAGGGGATGAATAATGAGCGGCCCTTTTGAGTCATTTCCACAACGGACACAGTAATTCTTCTGCCCTATGTCATGACACCAATTAACAATTGGTTCATACGTCAGCGTGCGTTCATCGAGATATGAAGCACGCGGGAAGTTTGGAGAGCACGAAAGATGCGTAAGAGTTGCTCGAGGCGTAGCCGAGGGATCTCGAGGGATATGTTTGCTGACGTCATGAGCGTGCACAATAGGAATATGAAGCACGCTCGCGCAATTTAATTTGATTAGATAAATTTACTAGCTATGTTATAAAACGATTTGATGAATGATTTATCCAGTGAGGTTTAATTGGGTGAAACTAACAGATTGTGCGAAAGTACGACAATAGCCCACAGTTGTCATTTAACCTGGTTTGCCTGGGCTCACATTACATGTTTATATAATTCGATGTTTAAAGTACAATAAAGTAGTTTTCAATTGAATTGTTTCGCTTTATTTCTTACTGAAATTGGCCATAATACCTTGCACCACTACCCTTACCGCTTCCTTTCGGCGATGTACGTTGGATAACAATTGTTGAATATTCTTCAGTATAATGTAAAAAAGGTGTGAACAAGTCTGACCCCAGGATTCTGTAAAACATCCGTGCTTGACTAGTTTACACTATTATTTGTATGCTGTGGCTTAATGGTAGCGTGGCGCTTCTTGCGCAACATCGATGGAGCTGATATCCCAAAGTCTGTGTCGAACTCTCTAAACTAAAGCGTTCCTCAGGTATAACAAGACAAACTTTATTATTTCATACTGACCTCATGTTTTCTTATTAAGTACACTAATAACTTGAACCGTTTCAGCGGTTTATGGAAAGAGCTGGAGGAGGGGTTTTCCTGGAAGAGAGGCTTGTTAGAAACTTTTCTCACGTGGAGGACTTACTAGAAAGAGAAGGGAATAAGAGGATGTTCAGGGCACATGTTCAGGGCACATGTTCAGGGCATATCTATAATCTCTTGGGAATTTTTAGTTAAAAAGTCCCAGCGGTCTAACCAGTGAAAGCCTGTGAAATTTGGTGTTGCTTCTGTCTTACAAGATGCCATGCCATACAGGCAGCTCAGTCGGTTAAAATTTGCGAGAAAGGTCTATTTTACAGGTTAGGATCGACAATTTCTCGAAAGTCGAAAGGATCTACCTTCACTTCACAGTAAACTCCAGCTCTCTCACCCACTTGAGAGGCGTCTAATGTGAGTTAGGATTACAATTCTGAGTGGCCTTCATTAATAACAAGTATTAAAAGTTTTCTTACCTACAGCATCCATATGGGAACACAACTGAGCTAAAAATCTTGCAATAAACTTGCGTCTCACAAAAAATCTTTGATTGCTAGCCTTAAACCAGTTTAAGAGATCAGGTGCTCAGAAAATACACGGAGGAGTCAGTTTTAATGGAAGCTCGTAGTCCAAAATTCAGCTGAGAATTCTCTGTGGTCTCACATAGAAACCATTACAATTCACAACTTCTAAGTCGACAGGAGCTTTGTCCACTTTCCCCCTTGGCTCAGATGACCTCGAACTTCCTTGCGTTTGGGATGAACTGTTTCTAATCCTTACTTGTATTTGTTGCAGTTGCCTCCTTGACTCTAGTGACAAGTGATCGTAAGTACTGATAATATTTTTATATTTCTATATTTTAATGAATAGTTTTGTTTCGTATTTAAGTCGACAGGGTTTCTTACTTATTACTAACGGTAATGATTGAGTTGGTGCGTAGCACATTTTCATTTTGACATTGCTAAAACTTTTATCATTTTTAAAGACATGGTAACAACAAGTATAAAAAACAATTTCAAGTTCTTCATTATCCAGTTCTTTCGTCTACAGTAATAAATCGATAGAGTGACTAAAAACTCCTCTCTTTTTCAGCCTGCAACCCTACTGGAGAATCCATTAATGCTACTAGTGGTCACATTTCCAGCCCCAATTTTCCCGACAACTATTTAACTGACTGAAAATACTTTTAACGTTAGTTAACAATTATTCACCGAAGTGGAGGTGAATAGTGGTGGATATTTACCGAGCCGAAAAGTGGCGAAGTGAATATCCAGCACTTTTACCCACAAAGACAGGTAACTAGTTATTATTCATTTTTTTACTATAAACCACACAGATAGCAAAAAATACGTTTACTCCTTACAATATACCGCAAAATGGTCGGAAATTAATTACTTGGCGCGCGATTTAGGTAACCGGTTCGGAGGTGAATGTTACTTGCTATTCAAAACCGAACCAGCCAATTAGGGCGCGAAAAACACTTTTCACATGTGTGGTATTAATACTACTGAATTTAAAAAACAATTGATAAGAGGATAAAAAGTAGTTAGCTTTTTTAAGTTTAAAAAGCAAATATAAATTATTTGAATAGAATAGCTGATCTTTCGCCAAACGTGCCTTAACCCATTAAACGAACTCCATGTCGATAAGCTCATCCGGCAGGCTGACAATCAGTTCTTCCAAATATTTCGGTGGTGCGAGCGTTTGAACGTTTTGAGCTCGCGATCGTTTTGAATGGTTTATCCGACCGGCCATGTTTGATTTGGAGTTAGACTGGCCAGTGGGGGTAAGGAGAAGGGGAAGGGTGAGAAAGGTGATTTTCACTCCCCTACCTCCCCTGCCCCCTTCCTTATTTTTGACCGTTGACCGTCGACCGCCTCCTTGGTACAAATTTCTTTTTCTCCCCACCGTTCCGCTGCCGTTAAAAACAAAGATGGCGGCCATAAAAATACTGAGCAATCGCCCGCCAGAATTACGCCTGCTCTCCGGGCTAACGTAACATGGAATCTATTTGTTAAATAGATATAACCTGTATTCAGTGTAACAAGTCATGAGATTTACTATTTTCTTGCTATTTTTTCAAAGGAATTTGATCGTATCTTTAATTATTTAGTATCGATTGACGTAAACATACCCACTGGAACCGGTTTGTTTTAATAAACAGATCATACTTCTATGACATGATTGTCTGAGCATTTCTCTCTCTTTCTGTAATTTATGTTACCCGGCAACCAACAGTACATAGCAAGGGCTATTGTTTTCAGCACATGTTTTGGTTACAAGCCTTCTCCTGAATGGATTGGAACCTGTGATCCGGAAAAACTTCCGTCTGACGAATTTATTGTAAATATGGTTTGCGATACACAATATTTTTAAGAGTTTCAGGACTCCATGTGTTGAGTAAGTATTCTAAATATGTAAAATCAAATAAATCGGACGTTCAATATATTTTCCCTTGCTTGCTGTATATT